CCCAGTGTACATCCCTGCAAAACCTTGAAGTGCAAGAATACTTCAGTCCTTTTAGAAGTTTCTAGAACACAGGTACCTTATAAGAGTTTGATGAAAGTAAGTGATATCATCCCCTTACCAAAAATTACTTTCTTTCTGGATTTTCTATCTTAGGTACCAACACCATCACTCTTCCAGCTCCTCAAGTTGGCTGTCACTCTGTACCTTCCTTATAATAACAGAATCTCAAGTTTCACTCAATGTACTTTTCCTGTAACCCACAACTTCATCTTTAACTCATCTTAAAAATACCTTTAAAGTTTTTAATATTTATTTTATTTGTGCATACGCATGTGTATGTTTGCAAGTTCGAAGATAACTTCCGGGAGTCAATTTTGACTCCACCATATACAGGTTCAAGGGAACAAATTCAGGTCATTGAGCAACAAAGACCTTTACCTACTAAGCCATTTTATCAGTTCCCGATAAGCTCCTCAAGGCAGAAGTGATCAACTCACTTTGCTACACAAACACCTTAGTTAAATCTCTACTCTTGGAAGGATCCAGTATGAAAGCTTCTGTTGCCTAGAAAGGTAACAGGGTGCAGAGAGGAGTATAGAAGGCTTTGAGTTAAGACAGACCTAAGTTTGATCTTTCATTTTCAGTAAATTACTCTTTTCTGAAATTTCAATTTCCTCTTTTATTAAATGAAGATCACTTATACCCTTGTAACTCAGTATATCTATGAGTCTGTGGTGGTTTGAATGAGAATGGCTTCCATAGGCTCATGTTTGAATGCTTGGTCCCAAGTTGGTGGAACTGTTTGGGAAGAATTAGGAAGTGTGGCCTTGTTGTAAGAGGTGTGTCATTCCTTAATACATGCATGTAATCAAAATGGTATAAAAGCATAAAGGAAGAGGGGGTGTAGGACAGGGGTTCTAGGGAGGGGAAACGGGGAAAGGGGATGACATCTGTAAATAGATAAAATAAATATCCAATAAAAAAAAACTTAAAAAAAAAAAGGTGTGTGTCATTGGGGGTGAACTTTGAGGTTTCAAAAACCATGCCATTCCCAACGAGCCCTCTTTGCCTCATGGTTGTGGATCCTGATCTGAGGTCTCAGCTGATGCCCCAGTATCATGTGCTTGTCTGCCTGGTACCATGTCCCTGCCATGATGGTCATAGGATCTAACCCTCAGAATTATGAGCCACAGATTAAATGCTTTATTTTATTAGTTGTTTTGGTCATAGTGTCATAGCACAGAAAGAGAAAAGTAATTAAGATAGGATCTACAACAAAGGACCATTAACATTACCATAATAGAAATGTATACCCACACAAACCTACTAAATCAAAACAATACTCCTTAGAATTCTCAGATGAATCTCATGCACATTAAAGTCTCAGATTACTGCAGTCTACTGTGTGGATTAAATGTATCTAAATCTCTTGACACCAAGTAGGCACTTACTAAATGTTAGCACTTACATTTCTTTTATTGAGGTTTATTTTATTTTTAATCATGTGTCTGTGTTGTATATGCTACATATGTGGGGGTGCTCATGGAAGCCAGAGATATCAGATTTCCCAGAGCTGGAGTTACAGGTAGTTCTGATCTACCTGATATGGATGCTGGGAATCAAACTTAGGTCCTTTGGAAGAATAGTAAACTGTTGTAACTGTTAAGACATTTTTCTAGCCCCAACACTACCAAGTTCCTTTCCCCTGTCTTTGCTAATCCCAATCCTTCTGTCTAGAATACTATTCTCACCTCCTCATTCTTTGTTGCCAGATTTCCACGTTTAATATTATTTTCTGTATGGCTTCAGCCTTCTACATTCTTCACCAGCCTACAAAGTACACTTTTTACTTCAACATCTCATGCTACTTCTCAAATCTGATACCAGTGAACGCGGTTCCCTCACTAGAATGTAAGCTTTTAAGGGCAAGGACAATGTCTAGTCCATCTAATCCCTAAAATATAACTACTGGTCTATTTTTAGAAGGTTCTACATAAGAGAGTTTATCAAGAATAGAAACTAAAAGAACAAATATGTCCATTAGATCAAATCACCCAAATAATTATAAATGAAACAATCAAGTGCCAGTGACTTTTCTAGAATTTTACATGTCAGCTATTATGGAACCATGTACTTCAGTTTGTTATAAAGGCTTCGACACACAGGAGGATAATTAGCTTCAAGGGAACTGCATTCTATGGTTACTGACTGTATAGTCTCTTTACTGGAAGGCATTTCATCAATGAACAATGATTGATCATGGAAAATCAAAGCAGCTGTCTAGAACACAACAGTTAGAAATGGAAGCTCTGAATTCTTATTATCACAGGCTTAGAAAGTAACATGTTTTCTGTGCTTCTATTTGATAACTTCCTTTTTGATAACTGTGGTGACCGATACATAGTGAAGCTGTGAAAAATTAATAGAATATGTATAAAGAGGCTTGAACAGAAACTGACAAACCAACAAATGGCAGTTATAATTATTACTAATGAAGGCAATCATTATTTTAAAAATCTAAAGCATTTCTTTATAGAGGAATTATCATCATTACTAACTTGAAGGAATCTGGTACATAAATTATAAATATTAAATAATATCTTTCTTTAGAGGTTCAAAATTATCACTTAAGTATCACTCAACTAATTATTTCAGAACTTGAAACTGTATGTACACAAGCAACTAAATGGATGGCCAGAAAGCAGGATCTCTAAGACAAGAGAGAAGGCAAGAAATGTTGACAGCTTTTTCAAATCTCAAATGAGTTAAGGATCCATCAATGTATTTATAAAATCCATGAATCAAAGCTGGTGCTTTTAGATTTCTTTCCAACCACTCAAGCTCCTCTCTCTTCCATTTGTCTCCTACAGAGAAGACCCAAACCTCACAGCTATTAGAGACTGGAAACCACCCAATTCAGTGATTTGACAGATCTGGAAACTTATTCAAACAAGTAAAATCTCTTGTCCAATGTCATCCTGTAAATAATAGATCCAATTCTATAACAATCCTATAGAAAATCAGTATGTATCTGTATAAATGTGTGAAGTAAATAAATTCATCCAAGTAAGTAAATGGATGTACATACATTGATCAGAAATAAAACAAGCTAATTAGCTCATGTAGCCATTATACAATGTATCCATATTTTAATATGCTATACATAAATATATGAACACATATTTTATCAATTAAAAACAAAAGTTGACAATCTAAATGATTAAAGATGAGTAACACATTTCACTGAACACAGATTATAAATTCTTATGCTCTCAAAAGATGTTATCCTTAAGTTTAAAAAGTTTAGAAAGTGTAAAATGTTTAAAAAATTATAAAATAGCTACAAAAGTATTTGTAAAAAGCTTATGTGGTATATAATGAGAGGAAAATAAACCTGAAGACATTGAAAGGTAGTTCTGGGTAAGGAGGTCTGTGTCTGTTGTTCTGGATAATGAGGACTGAGGCAGGAGGAGAACCCCAGAGTCCAAAGACCAGCCTGGGCAATAACAGTAATACTACATCTCAAAATTAAATGTTATAGTAAGTAAAGACACACAAAAACAAGTCAACAATGCTGAGGATCTAAAGTCACTCTTACTGTAGGGCATATTTATACCAGCAAGTCACTGTTAAACACAAGCTCATAAACCATCATCACAATCTATAATGTTTTTGGATTACTAACTACTTTTAAATTAGAAGCTAATAACAAACCATACAAAACATAGGAAATAAAAGATGAAGAGCTGAAATTCAATGTTATTATTCTCATTGAGACTGTGTATGTCTCTGTGTGTACACATTTGTGCATGTATTTCTCTGTGTGTTTCTGCAGGTCAGCGGTTGGCTTCATGTCTCTCCCTCATTCGTTCCTTACCTTATTGCTTCAGATGGGGGTCTCTCATTTAACCTGGAACTCACTGACTTTACTATCATGCCTGGCCTATCTCCCTTCACCTCCCTAGTGCTGGGACTAAGGTACAATACTGCTGAGCCTAGCTTTTTATGTGGGTGCTACAGGGATTTGAACTCAGAGCTTCATGCTTGTGACACAAGCACTGTATAAATTGTGCCACTTACACAGTCCCCAAGAGAAAAGTTTTGCCAAAATGTTAGTTTGAAACAAGTGGTTTTCCATTAAGAATAAAATAAGGCCAATTAATATAACCCATATAAATAATTCATAAGTAGAAATCATTCTAGCTTATCCATGAGCCAAGATTCATTAAAAAATAGCACAGGACAGAGTGGGTTGGTACCCAGGGGGGCCTCCCATTTCTCAGAGGAAAAAGAGAAGAGGGACAGAGGGAGGGGCTGTGTGAGAGGGAGCTGTGATTGGGATCTAAAATGAATGAATGAATAAACAAATGAATGAGTAAATAGATAAATGAATGGGAAAAATGGCACAGGATAGGACAAGAGGTGCTTATACAACAACCAGCTACCTTGAACAACCTGTTATATATTCCAAAGTGATTTACCTGTTTAAGAGGAAGAGAGTGTGCTTCTATTAACAAATGGTAATTTAGGTAGATTCTGAACTTCCTCTGTGAGAAATTATCAGCATCCAAAGCGAAGGCAAGAGTATAAATGAGGGCAAACGAGAGACAGGTGGAAAGCCCAAGCTTCAGGTGGACACTGGATTCAGCAGCTATGGTGGCCCACCTTTCCAGTAAGTTACCTCAATGTCTTATGCCTACTACCTCCTGACCCTTTCTCTGACATTAAATGAAATGTCAGATAACCCCTGGACTATAAGATGACAGTATTTTGGGTAAGTGATATTTTAAAATTAGGATGTAGGTTCCCTTTAGATACTGAAATTGCAGACTTTTTAGCTCCCAATCTATTAAATACTGCCCAAAATGCTTATAATCAGGACATAAATTACTGATGAATCCAAATGTGTTCTTTCATTGTTTCATGCATAAATTATAGAGATGTGTGAGAAACAATATTAATTAGGAAAACATTACTGATATAAACAGCTTGCACAGTACCTTCTGATAAACAATGGAGCACACGAGGTCTTTGACAGCAGAGAGAGACAGTTCCTGGGCTTCGATGGTAACGCTCTCTCGCGTGAGACCAATCTGAAGTAGAAATGAAACGGTATGCACCGAGCCTCTAGAATTTGTGAGTGATGGGGCACTGAAGCTGCCATTAGAGAGCCGAGCTGAGAGTCCTGTCTTGGGACTTGAACACGGAGAAGGAGCTGGAAGCACAGCAGAAACAGTTGCAGGGATCACAGATTTCTGGGCTGATGGAGGAGAATTATTTGCAGACATCTGCCTTTCTTTAGTCTATAAAAATAGTTGTCAATGCTTTTTAAATGGTTCTGAAGAAGTTTTCAAAATAGCAATAAAATAATGGCTACACTTTTGGATTTAAATAAAAGCTGCTTTACTTCCTCGGCTGAGCCACTCATGCCGTTGATGGCAAATTCTGTTGCTCCAAGTTGAATGCACAAAATGTCCTACCGCTCTCAATGTCAGTCCCATCAAGAATCTTGTCTTTAGGACCACACCCAGATCTGTAATCCACTTCACATCACCATTATCATCGAAGGAACAGAGTTGATACTGATTATTTATGCAACATCTTCATTTCTTTTAAATCTGTTTTTGTCTTTTGCTTTTCATTTCAGAAAATACAAACAGAACAGTCGATCTGTTTTAAGATATGAAATCTTCCTGATTAAAAGTAGTTTCAGGTAATCTATTCCTTCAGGGATTGACGGGACACCACAAATGGTCACACCTTAATTCACCCTCTCATATGTACTCATTTCCATCTTGGGATTGAACTTCCCTATGATGAAGTAAAAATAAAAAGCTTGCAAAAATAGTACAAACATATTTCTTTGGATGAATGGATCCAGAGAGAAAAGCTGGTGCCTTCTGAAATGCTGTCAACCTAGAAGAAAAGGTTAAAAGGTTTTACAATGTTTTCTATTCATTTGATATCAGTTTAAAATGTAAGAATCCCTATAATTTTTAGTGATAATTTTGGGTGATATTTTTACAATTCATGGATACAACCTAATGGGTAGTTATTTTAACTTTAGTTATCACAATTATTTTTTACTGTAGTTATAATTTCAGAGAGAGATTCCTACTTAAGGTAATACCCCTGTCCCTCACCACTAACTCATGAACCCTGACTGGGGAGTAGGGGCAGGTTAAATAGTATATTCTTTTTTTGGAGATAGGATTAGACTATGTTGTCTAGACTAATCTTGAACTCCTGGTTCTCGAGATCCTTTTGTCTCAGCATCTCAAGTACTTGAAACTAAGATATATACCACTGCACCCAGCTGTAAATTATACTATTTTAAATTTATGAAGAACAAACACTGTTATTCCACAACTACACAACTCAATTATAATAAGAAACTGAGAAAGACAGAAAAGACAAAACAGGAGAAGACAAACATCACAGACATAAAATATGACCCAAGCCATAATTTAAAATACACAATAATTTCCCACTACAGGAAAGGTTAAGTAGTCTTTTATGTTTTTTTTTTTTTCTTCCTTTTTGATTTTTGAGACAGGGTTTCTCTGTGTAGCCTTGGCTGTCCTGGAATTCACTCTGTAGACCAGGCTGGCCTCAAACTCAGAAATCTGCCTGCCCCTGCCTCTCAAGTGCTGGGATTAAAGGCGTGCACCACCACCGCCCGGCTTATGTTTTTATACATTGAGTCTAATGAAAATACAGCTCAGTAGCAAGTACAAGGCCCGCTGTTTTCCCCAGTACTCCCATCCCTCCAAAAGAGTCTATTTCTGCCAAAATACAAGTCCTGGACTGCTTTGTTCACAAATGTCTTCCAGAAGCCTAGAGAAACAAATGGGGATGCACTGGAGTCAGCAAGGAACTGTGCTGTGAGTGCTGACAGACTATGAAACACAGGAGAGAGCGAACTCATCATCATGAAGGGATTTCTAACACTGGGGAAAGGACATCACTAAACTATGCATCGCAGGTTTTAGGAAAACATAGTTCAGAAAATTTTAAAAAAGAAAGAGAAAAAGGCATACTAACCCTTCATGGCTGAATGAAATGGCTCACAAGAGATGAATCCTTCTAAATTCTTTGTAGCCATAAATAATTGCAATGATGAAAACCCAAAGCATCCAAAGTGTGTGCAGAGTGGAAATGAGTACATGGTGTTAGATTCAAATAAATGATATGTATGAAATGAAGAACAAAATCATACAGAAACAGGAATACAAATGAGAAAATTCAGAATAAAATGAGCCTGAAATAACTTTTAAAGATACGAGCACTGATAGTAACATTTGGGCAAATGGCTATAATTCAACCTCCTATTTTATAGCATTTGATGGTAATATTTCACTAATGTGCCTCATGATACCTTTTGTGATCAATAGGGAAATATCATTTTTGCAGCTGAGAAGACCAAAGTGCAAAGTGCAAAAGCAATGTGCCTAGTAACACTGGCTATGAACAGAGTGGGGATTAGAACCCAAGTCTCAGGCTTTCTTACCAGTACTGTTTTCACAGTAACTACTGTTTCTTAAAGATAACAAGGAACTGGGAATCACTGTTTAGAGAGGAGGGGAAGGGATTATACAGAAAGAATTGCTCAACTTGCACCTCACTTATCTTCTAACTCAGAGAACTGAAACTTGAACTTTGTGACTACGAGAGAATTAAATGACTTTATTTTTTAATGTCTTTTCTTTTGAATCTCACGATATAGCCCAGGCCAGCCTCAAACTCACCATGTAGCCACGGATAGTCTCAAATTTACAATCTTTCTATCCTTCACCTCTTCAATGCTGAGCTTCTAAAACTTTGTGTGAGTACAAGTCTCTGGGCCAAGATGCAGCTTATTCCATACAGCAGTGAGTAAGTTTAACCATGACTATTATGCAATAACCCTGCAGAAAGAGCTCAGGGTGAGAGAGATGCCCATGGCCTGGGATGGGGAGGGCTGCTTCAAGTGCTGAACACAGAAAAGCAGGTAAGCACAATTCAGAAACTACCAAAGAGACTTAAATATCTTTTGCCAGGAACTGGAAAGACAGCTCTGAGGTTAAGAGCACTAACTGTTATTCCAAAGGACCCAGGTTCAATTCCCAGCACCCACATGACAGCTCACAGCTGTCTGTAACAGATATTCCAGACTAGTTACTTTTGTAACAGACTCTCACACAGACATACATGCAGGCAAGTACAATGTAAATAAAATAAAAATAAAGAAATTGTTAAAAAAAAGTAAAGAAAATCCTTAGCCAGATCCAAAAGATACTGTTATTCAAATGATTTGTGAATAACTAGAGGATAGTATAATGTTCATATCAGCCTAATTTCAAACAGAACAAGAAATGCCAAGTACATCACACTTATAACATCATAAAGACTAGACTTCTCAAGTGGAAGAAGTACTGACCTTCACTGAACTCTATCTGATATCTGACAGACAGAGTCTAAACACCACATAGCAGCATCTCATTAATCTTCACAATCAGCCACTTTAGAGTTGAGAAAGGGAAAGTTCTGAGGTTCCTCACTCAAGGCTACTACAATCTCATGAAAACAGTATTAAAAGCATTCCTTCCACTGTCTTTGTAAACTCGCTGAGTTTGAGCTGGACATCAGTGTAGTAAGGAAATTGCTGTGTCAACTGACATGTGTGGAGTCCTTGGAGAAATGTTCACCACTCTCAGCTATGTATTTTCATGAGATGTGAAATGGTAAAGATGAAGACCATCTGCTTATGTAACCTTCAGGTTGAACAAAACTGAGCAAATGGAGTAAAATTAAGTGAAACTTAACAGAGATAAATTCTAAGTTAAATGTGCAACATTAGAATGGGGAGATGCTGATCCGGAAGCCATTCATGAGGTTGGGCTGTGTTTCTGAGGCTTCAGGTAAGTGCTGTGAATATAAAGGGCTAACTAAAAGAACCAAGACACTCCTAAACCCTCTGGACATTGAAAAGCAATGAGCATTACTCTGCACACACTTGTTAGTCTATATTACTATAGTCTATGCATTTGGTTACGCATATAACTGAGAGTGGGGAGAGGGAGAGGGAAAGGGAGAGGGAGAGGGAGAGGGAGAGGGAGAGGGAGAGGGAGAGGGAAAGGGAAAGGGAGAGGGAGAGGGAGAGGGAGAAGGAGAGGGAGAGGGAGACTATTTATTCTATAATCCACATATGTTTAGAGTTGCACATTTTTAGGTTTGGGAAGAAAACAATTGCAAACATTCCATGTAACCAGGATGATAATGGCCTGTGCTAATCATATACCAATCAGAATGAGCGGTCCTCAAATATCTGAGGTAGTATTAAGGGAGATCTGTTTTTAATTCAGCATTACTTCAGAGAAGTACAAAGAAAATGACAGCACCACTTGCAGGATTCCTGGGTTGTAAGGACTGACACCTGCCGGTGACAGACTAACAACAGCACCTGTATTACTGGAAGAACTCAGATCATTCAGAAGTTTTACAGCAATTAGACAAAAGTAACTTCCTACTAAATTTACGTGTTATACCACTTGATATTAATTAACAGAAACAATCTAATAACATACTTGATCAATTTACTAGAGACATGAATTCCTTATAAACTATATATAATTTTGTATAAAAGTAATTTTTTTTTAAAGTTCAGCATGAATACAAATATAAGAACCTGTCTTAACAACTCCCACCCACTCATCCCATCTGTCTCCTCTCTCCTGGTTTTGTTTATGAAATCCTGATTTGATCTGTAAGAAATCTAACAATACTAATTTATACAAACTTTGGTATGCTGTTTAATTTCTTTGTATTTATGCTTCAAATAGAAAATAGAGTTTATAAGTTAACAAATAGTACATCTTGTTGATTTATAAAGTGTGTATTAATTGAATATGTTGTTTTTCATAGTTATGAGTCGCTAAACCAGAACAGTATTGTCTAGTTGTCAAGAATTTATAACTTTAGTTGGCATATTTTTCAACCATTCTTTTAAATAGCTGTCACATATCTCATTCAAATGAGCTTAAAAATTCTGTCACCACTAAATGGAATCAAAAGGTATTTTGAGCTCAGTGTGCCCAACTGTTATAGAGTAAATAAAACAAAGACCTTAGAGGCTAGGTGACTGGGCTGTTATACTTCACGGTAATGTCACAAGCTGATCTACCTTTTCTCGCTCTGTCACTTCATCCAGCTCTACCAGCTGGAGTAGCATTCAATGCGTACTTATAGAACACTTGGTGATAGCTGGACGACTGAGAGACACTGAAGCTCCACAGCAGGAGCAGACAGAGACACGGCCACTGCTCTCTCTGGAACTCAGACATTAAACAAACACTTGCATACGTAGCTAGGTAATTACAAACTATGAGATACAACAGAGCATATGCCAGGTAGACTTAATTTCAGCTAGGTCTCAGGGAAGGTCTCTTTAAAGAAATGAGAAAACAAGAGGATTCCAGAGAACAATACACATATAATGCTATAAGAGAAGCTCTCATTATTTAGGGTAGCCAGCCTTCTATGTGCACTCAGCAAATGTTGACATGCTTTTCCTTTGTACTATCATGTTTACCCGACTCCCAGGAGTAAAGGATTGTCCAGGTTTAATTTCGATTTGTGTACAAAGAATGCTAATAAAGTGCAAGGGTTTATCTTGGCCCTCATGAAGATACGCACATATGTATGGTATGTATTGTTTTAGCATGTAAAAAAGCATGTGAGCTTCTTCAGTAACATAGCTGACCAGTACACTGAAGTCAATGTCCATGTTTTACCTCGAAAAAGGTCTGACTTTGCTTAATGCTTGTATACTGTGTAAAAACTCAGGTATTTTTGTAGATTAAAAAAAGATCTGCGGCAGTCTCTCCATTTGTTGCGTATTTCAGAAATATTCCCTCAGATTACTATAAGACTGTCTTTCTACGAGCACTCCACTGAATTGTTCCCTCCACAAGTCTGCTTTTCCAGGTAGCGGCAGTCAATCTCAGCCCTTCCACTGCCCTGGAGAACACAGAGAGGGCGCACCAGCCAGGGTCTCTGCGCAGGCACCGAGAAGTGTATCCAGATATTGGAACATCAGTCTGGCAGAGCAATACGAAGCGATGGATAAGCTTGATCGATCTTCGACCCTACACCAGTTTAGAAGAAATCTGATTGGCTAATTGCCAAAGAGCACTTCTCACGCACGGCCACTGTAAGATAACCACACAAGTGGAGAAAATGTCTCATCTACACTGAAATTAAACCTAAAACATCTCTTAAGTATCATACCCTATTTTTTCCTTTTAAAATGACTGCTCCAGAGAGGCAAGTTCCATTTGAATTACATAACCCAAGAGACCCAAAGAAGAGATGTATGTGATTATTAAATCCAATTATGTGCCTAATCAAATAATATGTAAGTAATCATACATCAAATCCTGAATGAGTTTCTTTAAAAACAAGCAATGAACTCCACTATGGTTAGTATTTTTTTTTTTTGCCAACTTCAGAATTTTGTTGAAAACTGTCTGTCCCTTCTGTGAAAAGTACACTTTGGTAACTCTCCTCCCCTCTATCTTTATGTATGAGGTGTTTTCAGCTCCTCTGACTTTTAAAGTTTAACTTGCTGTGGCTTTTGGTGTGTGTAGCAGTGTTTAGATGACAAACAACACACACACACACACACACAGAGACAGAGAGAGACAGAGAGAGAGAGAGACAGAGAGAGAAAGAGAGAGAGAAATGTCTATTTTAAATAGGTCACCTGATAAAATAGCTTATGAAATGTGCAAGATTAAAGGCTCATTGCTAAAAACTTCTTTAAGGAGCTGGTGGGGGGAGTACTAGAGAGAGCGAAGGGGAGGGGGATCAGAATGTATGAAACTGCCAAACACATTTAAGAAAAATTCTTTTAGTTTTAACACTTCTGAAATGTGAACTGCCTTGGCTTATCAAAGAGGCCTCCAAACTCATAGTCTCAGGCCCATGACATTTATAAAAGTATCCTACGAAGCAAAACCTATTGTGACGGTTCCTGTGAGACATTTTAAAAATAATACATTTACAAAAACTTGAAACAACTTTCTTGCTAAACTGCTGTTTTATCCCACTCCTGATTATACTCGGGAAGGGAAAGTGTTCCTACAGAGCAAATCTGGGAACTTCATGGAAGCCTTCTTGAAGCAAATCAGTAGGCTGGTCTACTCTCCTGGCATTACAACTTTAAACACGAGCTGAACAAAATCAAAGCTGCTAAGACTGCAACATCAGGTATAGAGTAAAAGTATTTTTTTAGTGTAACAACATTTTTCTAGAATACAGATGAAGGCATCTCAAACTTTTGTTTCATTTGTGCCTACAGGTTTTAAAGGCCCTGTCCTACAAAGTAGTACTTCGAGTTGTAACTTATCCTCTTTAATCAAAGATGACACCGATAGTCTTATTTCCCGTGGGGACGGGCGTGGTTGAAGGGACAGTTACGTCCATGCCATCAATCTGTGTACGGAAAAGTCTGCAGGTCGCCTGTAGCCCGATTTATATCTGTGCTTGCTGACAGCACGGCCTATACTTCTGATTTCCATGATGTGAGATAAAATACCCGACACGCAATCAAGTAATGTCGTGTATTATTATTACTGCTGCTGCTCGACACTCGCGGGTGTTTCACTTCAGGGCAAAGCTGCCCGGGGAACGAGAACGACTTGGAGCGAGGCTGCAACTGGGAAGCCTCAAGGCAGTCAGGAAACTGGGGTCACCATCCTCCAAACCCCGGATACTCGCCCCTTCCAGCCCCAGGACCAGGAAAAGTGCAGTAAAGAACCGGGAAGGCTCGCTGCACGGCGCCGTGGGCGGCAGGATTAGTTTGCCGGGCTCGGGAAGAGCGGTCCCCGAGGGCCGGGGCGCGGTGGGTCACCCGCAGCCGCGCGACTCCAACTTGGCCTCGGCGCGGACCGCGGAACTTGGCCGCGCCGGCGCCCCCGGGCCGCCCGCGGAGCACCGCCCCGACTTCCCGCCCAGCCGCGGCCGCCGCCCAGCCCCGCGCGGGTCCGAGTCCCGCCGCCGCCACCGCCGCGTGCGGTGGGGGAGGGGCCGCGCCACCTCAGCCCGACGGGTCGGGAGAACAAAGCGGCGGCGGCGCGAACTTTTTTCGGTGTCTGCTCCGCGCTCCCTCAAGCCACTACTTACAGAGGCGGGCTCGCCTGTGGTGGAGAAAGTCGGCGCGCGCCAGCGTCCGCGTCCCGGAGCAGGAGCCAGCGAGGCTTCACGCGCCTCGCACGAACCCGCCCGCCGCCCGCGCCCCTTCCTCCTGCCCTCCCTCCCGTCCCGTCTCGAGGCCGGAGGGCGGGGGGCCGGGGCGCGCGGGCGGGGGCGCGCGGCCCGCGCGGGGCCTGCCGGGAGCTGTAGTTCCCCGCCGCGCGCTGTGGTGGGTCTGCCTCTGAGGGGGCGCGCGGAGGCTCTGCACCCCGGTGAGGTCCCCGCCGGGCGCGGAGCGCGGGGTTGCGCGCGCCTCGAGGGACGCGGGTACTCGAACCTTACTTTGCTGTCCGCTAGGCTAGGCGGGCGACGGAGGTCGGTGACAAGAGGCGACCACCTGAACGCCGCGTCCAAAGTGGAGGACCCTCCTTTTCAAAGTTGTCCTTTCGGGGTTCCCGGTGACAGCTGTCACCCCGCACCCCGAGCTACACAGCCTCAGCCCTTCACCTGTGGCACAGTAAAACTTGGAGACGCTGCTTGCACGCGCCTGCGTTTCCTCTTGTGCATCTTTACGCTGGTGTGTTGCCCTCCCTACTGAAAGGGCAGTCGACAGTCGTGGAACCTCAGAGGGAAGAAGACCCTGTGTGTTAAATTATAAATTCTTGTTGAAAGAGAAACATCTGCGCAGTACAGTCATCGACACAAAAACTAGATAGTTCTTCCAAGACGACGTTTTATATCTTCAAAGTAAAATATATTGTCATAGAGAAGGTAAAGGCCACATGCCTGGATGCAGAAAGCGGGGCAGGGGAGGCAGCTTTTGAGAACTCAGGGAAAATAAACCTAAATGGACTGCCAATTTTGATACAGAATCTATAATATTAATGGATAGTCCTGAATTTGAAATAAGTGAGACCTCTCCTTTCCCCCAGGGATAGAAATGGAGACCGAACCCACTTGCTGAGACTCACAATGAGCTAAAGCGCTGACCACGCTACTAGCTACACCCCCATCTCCTAGGTAGTGAGGGTTTTGAAATGAAAATGTGTATAATCCTTTTCTACTGGGGAGGGTCAAGAGGTGGGAGGACAGTTCGGACATTTCTCTGGAATCGGAAGCTGCCAACATCCACTAACATTTAAGCCCACCTGATTACATCTTTGTACCTAGAGTCTTACTCATACATCACTCACACGAATGCAGGCAACCCTAGTTAAACAAAGAAGGCGTCAAAGGAAAGGGCCCAGGTCAGAAGAAGGGGCTCAGTTGAGTAGGGGATGAGTTGTGAATAAGATCAAAATGGTGACACACACACACACACACACACACACACACACAGAGAGAGAGAGAGAGAGAGAGAGAGAGAGAGAGAGAGAGAGAGAGAGGCTCTTTAAAGGCATTCTGCTATTCTCTTATTTTAAGATTAAAAGCAGATTCATTCCAGTGTACCTTCTTAAACGTTCCCTTGCCAAACTGCCCTCCCTCCCTTCCTTCCTTCCTTCCTCCCTCCCTCCTCCCTCCCTCCCTCCCTCCCTCCCTCCCTCCCTCCCTTCCTTCCTTCCTTCCTTTCTCCCTCCCTCCCTCCCTTCCTTCCT